TGTATAAGACTATACTTTTGTCTAAAATCTTTAGACTAAAAATTGAGGGTTGTCTTATACACGGAAGTAAGCTGAGGAAAGTACAAAAACAAGTGGAGGGGAAAGCAGGGATCAAATTGTTCCTGCAGGGCTTTGATCCCTGCTTTCCCCTCCACTTGCTAATCCTTAGCAAAAGGAAAGCCTGGATTAAAGTGCTGCAGGATCGCTTTGATCCCTGCTTTTCCCTCTGCTCGCTAAATCCCATGGGGCTTAACAAAAGGAGTGGGGAAAGAATCAAAGCAATCCTGTGGCTGTATAAGGGGGAAAGGGATCAAAATGATCGTGCAATTGCGGGAGTGCTTTGATCTCTTTTCCCCTCCTTTTGCTAAACCCCACGGGGTTTACACAAAGGGAGAAAGCAGGGATCAAAGTGGTCTTGCAGTGCTTTGATCCTTTTCCCCCTACGCTTGCTAAGCCCCACTTCTTTCTTCTTTCTTTCTTTTATTAGACTTTTACCCCGCCCCCCCACAAGCGGCTTACATACACAATAAAAACACAACAGTATAACAAACATAATAAAATCCTTTGAAAACTCAAAACTTAACACTTATTTCTAAAAACATTGCCAAGATGGAGTAGTTAAGGAAACAGAAAATAAAAATCAGTTAATTGACTGGAGGGAAGGCCTGCCTAAAGAGCCAGATTTTTAAATGGCTTTTGAAAACACCCAGCGATGGTGCCAGACGGATTTCAGTTGGGAGCCTATTCCATCGCCGAGGGGGCACTGCCAAGAAGGCCTGGTTTCTTGTTCTTTCTTTCTGGGCCTCTCTCGGTGTTAGGCCCCTCAGCTGTCCCTGCTGGCTATGTCGAGTGATTTGCGTAGATCTAGGTGGGAGAAGACGATCTGCCAAGTATCGAGGTCCCAAACCGTTTAGGGCTTTGTACGTCATCATTAGCACTTTGAAATCAATGTGGAAATGGATGGGCAACCAGTGCAGAGCAGCCAGAGTGGGGGAGATATGCTGATATTTTTCTCACTCCACTAAGAAGCCTGGCTGCCGCATTTTCGATTTCTTAATTTTGGGTTAGAAAAGTGGGGGTGTCTTATACATGGGGACATCTTATACATGGAAAAATACGGTAATCCTGAATTGGCCTTTTTTTTCATATTGTGTTTATGGCCGTGGACCAAAAAAGGTTGAGAATGACTAGCCCAAACTGTTTGTAAGGAGGCCTTAAAAATAAGATATAGAGGTCTGTGTCTTGCTCTCACTTCAAAGTGTCCATGTCATGGGCCTTCAAGTTCTCCACTAATATGTCACATTGGCTTGAGACAGCCTAAATCATAAGGGACCAAAAATTTGGAGTAATTCTTCTCATCTGTAAAGATATGCCAGGATATTGTTGTTAAGAAACAGACCAGGATTTTCTCTGAATAATGGGTGGGAAAGTTCATAATTATCAAAATGAGCTGGCTACATGTAGTCTGCTTTAAAAACAAAACAAAACCTCCAACCAAGTCCAAAAAAGAACAAACAAAGAAGATAGAAGTTCTGCACGGAGCCATCTCAGGGATGTTCATGCTCATACAAACAAGATGACTTTTATTCCTTAAGAGCATTACTCTCTACAAAGTTGGTTGGACTCTCATTTGATGTATGGTTTCCAGAACTTGCCAAAGAGCAATAGTGACTAATTAATGAGATACCAGAGTACATATACCAGGGACGTGGTGGTACTGTGGGTTAAACCGCAGAAGCCTCAAGGTGGACATGACTGGACTAAATGTCAAGGAGAACCTTTACCTTTGCTTAGCTTAAAAGTCTACCAGTCATATGTATGCATAGCTAAACAAAGAAGACTTGCCCCAGTTCCTCACTGTCAGCTGCAATTATCCCCAGCCAGTTATGCAAATTACTTACACTGGATAAGATCTAAATGTCAAGGAGAA